ATCACTGATTGCATAATCCACTCCACATCATATTGCATTGCATCTCTCAAATCTCCCCATCAAAAAGCCCACTGCCCAGTGCCCATTTCTTTTTTCAAAAGCCCATCAATCTTCTCTATTTTTCTCAGTTTCTTTCCATTGTCTCTCCATCTTTGTTCATCATTTTCGCAAAATTAACGAAGGTGGAGACCAAATTGTATTTTTTATAGAAATTTTAACTTCCAAGTTAAAGAGATTTAATAACATAATGCTAAGGAATAGGGATTCTCTCTTGAACTGAGCTTTACCTGACCTTTTTTATCGTCCTTTGACACTGTTAGAATCTTAAAAATTGTAGGAAATCAAGTTGATATGCATGCAGAAATCTGGCAAATATGAATGCATAATAAAGGAGAATTAAATGATCAAGCTTAAGTCTTGTTTCCATAACATTAGAATCCATAATGCATATAGTCATAAATATGCCCACTAATAAATTAAACTGGTAAATTGTATGAAATTCTTGAATATGTTAATCAAGTCTTCACATCGATGATGAAACACTCTTGAAGCAGTTGATCCCAGAAACTTCTTCAATAAGATGTAGAAGCCTTCACGTGATCCAGAAAAGCTCTTCAAGTACCTATCATGTAATAATAAAGTTTGAAAGCAGTCATTTGTCAATTTAAGAGAACAAAAAAATATGGTGAACGTAACTCGGCAACGTAGTGCAGAATTTTAAGGTGAAAGAGAACAAATCTGTCCATTAGCAAGTAGGTCACAGCAAACTCAGAACAAAATGATGCTTCGTATGTGAATTATTGTTATGTAAACGATGATGAAAAAGCTTCAATTTCGTAAGGATTAATGAAGTAAGAATCCAGCGACCAATCAGTAAACCCATCACGGAAACAAAAATATTACTGGATATTATGAAATGAAAGAAAAATTCCAAATAGATCAATGCCGCCGCAAACACAAAAGACTGAACATATTGAAGCCACAGGAACTTGAGAATCTGCCACAAGGCACAAATTAATCAACCAGCTATAAGAAAGTTCCATTAAATCACAAGAACAATTAAAAAAAAAAAAAGGAAAAAAGTTATACTCATGACAGCAAAGGAAAAGATAAAAAGGAACTTAGTTTGCAGATGAATATTTGTTTTCCCACCTACAAAAATAGAGAAAATATCGAGGATTGAAATCGAAAAACAGAATACCCTAGTACAAAGAATCATGGCTGAGAGAAGAGAGATTACAGAGTTTTGGAAACATTCCGCAGAATTTACTATCTGAAACTGCAGTAAACAGAGAAACTGCCAAAAGCATTCAACCATCCATAACTCTTGAATATCATGCTCGACGATCCACCAAAGAGTAATTTAACCATCTAGCACAACCCAGATGAACCATATCCAAGAAGAGTTTCACACGCATGACAACCAGCTAAAGCTCGAATGAAAAAACACGAGCATCGTGAAGGCATATTATGCAGCAAAAGGAGACAATAAGGAACATAGCAAAGCAAATCCATATTAATTTAAAACCAACAATGAAAAATAAAATCCCTAAAAGCACTTGAACATCGAAAAATGTACATACTCTTATACCATGTCTTTTTAAATCACTCATTTCCAAAGCTTACATAATCTGGTTAAAGAGTTCTCAATCTAATCACACAAATCAAAATTTAATTTAAAAAAAAAAAAAAATCAACACACAAATATTACAATAATAGTATGGCATTGCTATCAGAATCATGAAACAAAACATAAACATGAGCAACTCCTGCGGATACCACTATATAGTATACAATTTTAATGTCATTCTAAATAGGCATTTTCAATGCTTACATAATCTTGTTAAAGAGTCATCAATCTAGTAAAACAAATCAGAATTCAATATTGCATGCAAACAGAATCAGGGAAAAACACCATAAACACAAGTCTATGCATGCGGCTGCAACACAGCAAGTGCTATAAAATATCCAATTTCGAAAGAAAAACTTACATTCAGGGAAGAGCCAAGCTGGTGGAGGCCAAAATATCTCAGAAGATTCCGGGAATGATGCAAGCCACTCATTACTACCATCATTGAAGTCGAAAATCGAAGTATACATTCCGGGAAAATCATATGTAACCCCGAAGAAACCAGTTTCACCCATGTAAACACATTCGGTTTGATTCCCGAAAAATCTTTGGCCGAAACAAATAGGCTACCTCCATCAAACAGAAACAATGCTCTATCCTCCAAATCCTTCACTTCAATCCACTCTTCCTCCTCTTCGTCAAGCTTAAACACGTAAAAAACAGAATTCAAAACCACTTTTTCAGCCTTCGCCGGAGAGATATTTCTTTTATTTCCAAGTTTGTTATCATTACTACTGCGATTTTCAATCAAATACAATTCACTGGATGTATTTACAAAGCTTTTGTAAGTATAACGAGTCACCAATGGAATCAAAGTTTCATTAACCTCCAGAGACTTCGGATCAACAGTTAAAATATGACCACTTGACATCACTACGTGAAACTTCTTCTTATAATAAACAATATCCTGAATATTAACATCGCCAAAACCCAAGTCTACCCATTTCTTATCACAGCTCCTCCAAACCATCAACCCCAATTTCAGAAACACCAAAACCGCTAACTCATCATCATCCGTAGAGACGGCACAAAATATACTTCCACCCACTAAACTGTCTCGGATGTTCATCCGGAACCCAATCAATTCTATATCCTTTACCAACTTCCTGCACACGATATTCCAGCAAGTTCACTGACTCAGGCAACATTTCAAGAACGTATTCTTCAAAATGGCGGCGAGAGTAGGGGTCCTGAACTCGGGTTTTTCCGTTTCTTGATTTTTCAACTTTGACTATCCACGGAGTGGCCTCGTGGGAAAGGGGCAGCAGGGCATAGACAGTGGATTCGGCGATGACGAGGTGCAAAGGAGGGTCGGAGATTCCGGGGTCGTAGTAATAATGAACGGGGGCGAGTTTCGCAGAGGGGAGAGGGACGGCGAAGCGGAATGAGCTGCAGACGGCGCGGAAACGGCTGAGTTCGGTTTGGGTTTGGAGGCGCTGTGCAGCGTTGAAGAGGACAGAGTCTGGGAGACTGCACCAGTCGGGGGTTGCACAGGTGGCGGCCATGGATGGTGATATGGGAACGAAACTGAAACGCTAAAAACACTCAGAGGAGTGAAAACAGTGGACGGAGGAAGAAGAAAGGGGAAATAGGAAAAGGTAAATGTTTCTTTTCTGTGCGTGGTGTCAACTGAGTCACTGAGTTAAAGATAATGGGATTCATCTGGTTTGTCCTGGTCCCAGCGGCAGTGTGACTGTTTAAGAAAATATCATTAACAGGGAGGAGAAAATTTCTAGAGTGCCAAGTTGGTGACACGTGTATCAAATTGTTTAGTCACGTGATTATATTTAATATACTTGGGTAAACAATATTTGAGTATTAGAGATAGGGGTAAGCGGTTTCGGATATTCTGTATTTTTTAGGAGAATCAGAATCAAAATCATACAATGCAGGTTTCCAAAAAAAGGAATCGAAACCAAAATCTATTGGTTCTGGTTCTTAAATTCAAGAAACCGGAACTTAAAATACAGGTTCTGGTTCCTTACCTGAGTACCCTATAAAAAATAATTACTCCATATTATTTTAAAAAATGATAAAAATATCTTAAAACTTTATAAATACACCCCTAACAAATTAAGAAAACTCATATTTAGTAGTTTTCAATTTTTGATTACTCATTCATTTGTGTCCAATGTGACTTATAAATCTTCTAATCTCTAGGCAACACTTGAATTCAATCAATGCATAACAATTCACATAAAATTTCTCAATCAAAACTAAAACACAAACAAGTTCCAAGCAAGGTACCCGCTTCAGGTTCTTTTCCCAGATTCCGGTTCTGGTTCTGAAACCTGTAGGAATTGGAACCGGAACTGTACAGTGTCGGTTCCAATAAAATAGAACTAGAACCTAACCGTATAGTGTCGATTTGGAGTAGGTTCCGATTCTACCTACAAGTTCCGGTTCTACCTACTACCTGTACTCACCCCTAATTAGAGAGAAAGACTATACCCACCCTGAAGTTTTGATCAACTATGTAGGTCCTTTATTTTAAAATACTAGCATTTACCCCCTTAAATTGAATAAATGTTTACATCATCTGTTAATTTAGATGATTTTTCTGTCTAAAAACAAGAATACTCTTCATTTTGATATTTTATAAGCATTGATTGAATAATGATATAATAAAAAATATAAAAGAATTGTTACAATTTCTTAAATTCAATGTGGTGTATCCTAATCTTGTGGTCGGATAGTAAGCCTTTTAGTTATTGGGATTAACTATACCTAAGGATCTTGTGTTCGAATAATTGAGAGGCAATTATCAAGTTTACCCAAAAAAACACAACTAATGCTAAGTTTAGTTACATGAGTTTCTTTCATTAGTAGTTTAAAAAAAAAAAAAAAATTGTTAATTTTGAAACAAATGACCCTAAATTATAATACCATTTATAATCAACATTACCTTGTGCTTGTTAAATTGAATATTTATATAAAATACATGCCTTAGCTTGTGTTGTTATTGATATGATACTATAGACTATACATTTTCTCAATTTAATGTAATACCTAATTCAAAAGAAATTAAAAAATTATATCTAATTAAAACAAAATACTTCAAATGAAGCCTTGATTAATCCTCATCTCATATGAGTTGTTGAATACATAATGGTGCAATGGCATCTTCTTTACACACTTCGTGATAACTTTTCTCTTATTACAAATCAAAGAACAAGTTTTGAGACATTAAAAAACAACTCGAAACATAAAACATACAACATTTGTGAATAATGAATAAATTTAGTAACCAGTTTGAGTTGACTTTCTACCAGAATCAATACTTGATGGCTTAGAGTAAGAGCCTTCATTGTGATCTTTTTTTAAGTCATCTTTGTAATATTCTACTGTTTTTTATTTGTGAAAATCCACTTTACAACCATAACTTACAACCATAACTATAACCTTCAGGTTTAAAATCATAGTTGCTACCTTTTGGCTTTGAATAGTAACTTTTATCCCTGGGCTTTGACTTCTCAAAGTATGCTTTGGAGCCATAAACATAATCTTCTGGTTTCGAACCATAACCATTACCCTTAGGCTTCGACTTTTTAACGTATGAGTTGAAGCCATAACCATTTCCTTCTTGCTTGGAATAACCCTTTTTCTCAGGCTTTGACTTCTCAATATATGGTTTCGAACCATAACTATCACCCTCAGACTTGGACTTCTCAACATATGGCTTGGAGCCATAGCCATTACCTTCTGTCTTAGATCTGTAACCCTTATCCTCAGGTTTTAACTTTTGAACATGTGGTTTGAAACCATAATCGTTACCTTTTGGCTTGATATTGTAACTTTTATGCTCCTTATAAAGGAATGATTGAGAATTGTAACCATGAGACTTTGTTTTGTCGCCCTAAGGGTTGGTACCATAACCATAATCACCAGCAGAGGTAAGGATAAGCAATGAGAAGAGAAGCAAAGAGGTTGTGAAGAAGATGCGAGTGAGAGCCATGACTTTGAATATTGAATGAAAGAAAGAAAAGATGTGTCGGTGAGTTGGTCAAGGAAGTACCAATATGGCCTTATATAGATAACATGGATGGCCCGTTTCTCTTATTGAATATGTATTAAAATATGCAAGCAAAGCAAATAACACTGATGTACGTTTCTCTCTGCCACTAAAATGAACGTGAGTGCCTGCTGCGCCAACCATAAACACATGTTGATATTTGAAACTGTTTCTCTTCAAACTCATTATCTCAATGTTCTTGTTCAAAGTTCTAACATAAACAAATTGATGTAAAAGTTGTCATTACAAAACAAATTATCCCCAATATTTTTATAACCCACCCAAGGTGAAACCCGACAAAGTTGGCGGTTCTCGGTTTGACCGACCGGTCCAATTGGGTGTCTAAAAGTTTAAAATTTAGCAAATATACTCCTAAAAATTATAGTTAAGTCCCTATAAGTTTGAAATTTCAAATTTAGCAAATATGCCCCTAAAAACTCGTTTAGTCCCTATAAGTTTGAAATTTAGCAAACACACCCCAAATCGACGATCAACTGGTTGGCAGCAGCAACATACCAAATGGAATCCCAATTATTCCTTGAGCCATTTCTAAAAAATCTACCCAAGATCTGGACGAAATTGGTTCGATTTCGACCAGATCTCACCATCGCCGACTTTGACAACCCTCTCCATCACCATGAAAATACTTCCCTCAGCCTCTTGACCAAAACCTATCTCACCTCACCCCCGTTTTCCTTGCCAATTGCCAGGAGTTTTTTTTATTTTATTTCTAGTTGATTCACTCACCGAAAATCACCTCCATCGCCACCATTCCACTGACCAACCATTCCTCTTCAAAAGCCTCAACATCCTAAACTTTAATTGTTCGTCGATCACTGTCCCAATTTCTAAGGTTTTCGATGAATAGGAAAATTGCTAACCCTACCCAATGAAGGCCTTGGGTCCCGATTGAATAAGTTCAACCGACCAGGCCGAACTAGGTTTTAAAACACTGATTATCCCAAATAATTAGGAAATATATACAAAAACAAAATTTCAGAAGAAGATAGTGAAAGCTCTGCTTTTCATTGATCAGTTTTAGACAAATATATACATGAGTACAAACTTTACATAAAAAGGAAGATACAAGGTAATTTAGAAAGAATACAAAATATATGTCGTGACTTGAGCAAATCATTGGATGATTGATCAAGTAAGTAACCCATGATTCATGTGCTGATATCTGAAATTGTTATTCTTGACAATGTTTTCAATAATAAGATAATATATTGGTAATAAATTGTTATTCTATTAGATAGATTTCTGGTAAAAATAATTTTTTATTGATAATCAGTAGAATTATATTGGATGATCTAATTTTTTAAACCTACTGCTTTAATTAGTTTTATTCACTAAATTCCCATAACAAAACTGTCCAAATCCATGCAACCATTAATTCTTTTCTTTTTTCCCTAAATTTTCGTTTCAAAGAAAATGAGAGGCGTTAAAAATCATATAATTAGGTTATGAATTTTTTTAATATATATAAAAAATGTTTTGTCTTTTTCAATAAAGAAATAAACAAAAGACTCGTATCTTATCGCCTAAGAAGAGGGATTTTGACTTTGAAACATGAAATTCACCCTCATTATTTTCTTGGAAGTTTAGATATTTTGAAGAAATTTGTTCACAATTTATGACCACAACTCTTTCAACATTGGTCATTCCAAAATATGTATTCCAGGATAAAAAGTTGTAAATTCTAATAGATTTTTAAGCATCAATATGGTTACATTCGAAATGACAAAATTAACAACTGCATTTGCTGTTTCTGTACAACAATTTCCTTTAAAACCTCACCATCTGCTTTTACACACACACACACACACACACACACATATATATATATTAACATTCTTTACATTTTTTTAAAATACATAAATGTCCTAAAGGAGAGAATGTATATTTAATTATTTATACATCTTGCATTACATTCTCTCCTTTAGGACATTTATGTATTTAAAAAAAATGTAAAGAATGTTAATGACATTTCCTCCTTAGCAAACATATTGCAGGCCAGCTTTTAATCTGAAGTTCTGAACTCATCCCGAGATATATTTGTTCTTCTTCTTGTTTAGGGTTAGGGTTCAACTTCTCTCTCAGTTGTAGCCATGTACCGGACCAGACCCATGTACCGGACCAGACCCTGCTGGTCCAGTGCTGCAGAAGGCTTCCAGAGGCATTGCATATGGGATTGTGGTTATTTAGCTCATATGGATTTTGATTATGATTATGATATGATAAAAATAAGTCGCTCTCAGCTTTTCCAATTCTACCTCCTCACCTTTATACGTGAAATGTAAGTGTTTCTAATTCCTATATAGTTATTGTTTTAAGTTATAATTGAAGTTCCATATACAGGGCCTCTTGTATTAAGACTTTTTTTTTCCATTACCATTGTGCTGGGTTGAGCTGTATACACAACCGTGATTTGTTGAAGTTTGGCGGTTATGGAAATCGATTAATGGAAGACTATAACAATTTTTTTATCCAACCTTATAAACTAGGGATACATTGGTGGGGTAATGTGTTGGCTCTCTAATTCGAGTAGAGAAAGGCCTCCGAGAAGGTAAGAGTTGGGCGATTGGAAAAATAAAGTTAAGCTAAAATTACTTTTCAATGAAATTACAATGAGATACCCGGTATTTAAATATTCAAATACAAGTAAATAGCCACTACCATCATGTAGACTAGTTGCCTTATTATTTAGGACCGTAATCCTTCAAGTGTGCAGGTGGTCTTCCTCTTCTCTTGCCACTAAACTTCTGCACGTTGCCATGATGGAGAAGAGTAGGTGATTGCGGGTTCATGGGCTGATTGGGTGAGGAAACGTGGGCCGTATCATACATCCATTAATGGTTTTTTATTTGACCATAGAGCGCCCGGACAGAGTTATTATGTATGTCTACAAGCTTGATGAAGAGAAAAAGCAAGAGTGGGTTTGCAAGGGAGGAAATAGTGGATGAAATATTTTTCAGCAATTATGAATGTTGAGAGAAAAATGGAGTGGATGAAATATTTTTGAGCAATTGTGAATGTTGAGCGAAAACCGGAGTGGATGAAGTATTTCTAGTAATATGAACGTTAAGAGACTGGGTTTTTGAGTGAAGAATGGAGTGGAAATATTTTGAGCAATTATGGATGTTGTTCTAGTGAAAAATGGGGTGGATGATTGAGCAATATTTTGTAATGGTTTTTTTAATACTTTCGTTGTGTTCGTTTTAATATTTTCAAGCTTGATGAATAAAAAAGTAGGAGCAGATTTAGTTGAAGTATGGATTGGAGGATAGAGCTTTGTTCTCTATGGAGAAATCAACGTATTTTTTTCAGCCAAAGAGTTTGTTGGATGTAAACAAAATTGTTTCTATTTAGCATAATAGACCTTAAAGTTGATTATGATTAACGAGTAAGGATGAAAACAGAATTGGATTGCTCTGGGCTAGTATAAGCGACCTGAGTCTAAGTGTATTATACATCCATCTAACATTTAATACAGCGAAAGGAAGTTCCTTTTTGATTTGCACCCGGCATTTCTGACTAATCTGGGATCTTCAGGCCTCTACCAGCTTGGCTCTTCCCTAGATGTAAATGTTTCTTCCCCTTTCTAGTTGTTACATTCTATTTGAAGTTGCATATATGCTTGATAATTCACCCCATTCTCGTATCAGAACCAACTGACAACTTTATGTTTGTCAACTCTATTCTTCATGCTTATCCAGCCTCTAGAACATTCATAGGTTACTTAATATTTTCACTTCATTCTTCTCCAAGATCATCTTCCGAGAACATTCATAATTCACTCAAAAATATCTCATCCACGTCTTCTTCAATCCAATATCCCCTCTCGTTTTTCTCTTCACCAACCTTATAGGGGTTAAAAAAAACCACAAAATCATCTATCTTTGGAGTTCTGTGAAAAACTACTTTTCTAGTCTTCCAGTGATTGGTTTCAACAGCCTCCAATGTTCAATGAATTACAGCTGTGCATTCTTTGTTATTTAACCCACAAAGAACAATCCTGCACATATGGTAAAAAGTAGCTATGATAAGAAATAGAACAAAAATAAACCGATACTGTCTTCAACACAAGCAAGATTATAAAAACTTTGGAAAAAAGAAAATCCAAATCTAAATACAAAAGGTCCGCATAGAAAACTTCAATAATAGCTTAAAACAGCATAGTTAAAAAACCAGAAGCATTTACATTTCCGATCAAAAACTGAGAAAGCGGAATTGGAAAAGCTGAGAGCGACTCAATACAATTCTAGCATAATCAAAAGCAACTTTCATAAGAACACTGTGAACTAAATAAGTAGCTTCCCATTTACAAAGGGTGTGGAAGGGTTCCACAGTACTGGGCAAACAGGGTCCAGTCCTGTCCATTGCTACAATTGAGACCCTATCCCTTAACAAGAAGAAGAAGAAGGAGAAAGATGTTTTGTGAGATGTAGGGCTGTGTTCAGATTAAAAGCAGATCTGGTTGTAAGTTTGCTCTATGTGTAAGTACAAATATATCCTTGACCTTTTAGCTTAAAGACATAAAAGGTCCATAGTTGAGCATTTATCTTATCAATACATTGCTATATAAGGTTGTTTTAATTGTGTCATAAAAACGTACAAAATATACGTTGAAACATTTTTTTTTTTTTAAATAAAGTGTATTGAAATATTTAAATTATATTTTAGTAAACAATTAAATGAAATAATTATGTTATTGTAGAGTTAATTAACTTTTATAACGATCAATGATAAAACCAATTAAAACACAATGATAGTTAATATTTTCTCTCAAATTTTGAAATAAATTAATGGTTTTAATCTAGAAAACCTTTACAGTATCAAATATTTTTTCAATTACCCAATATAATTTTAAATTGTTTTTAATTTCACCCCTCCTCCTGTAAGTTCCTGGCTTCATGATATGACATAAGTTTTTGGCTTATATTTGGATTTAAATTTCAAAATGAAGCGAATTCCTAATATGTAAGGCTAAAGATGTAATTTCATACTTCACTGTTTAACAAACCGTGTTTCATGATACATCAATCCCGATTCTGAACCTAATGTTTTAAGTAGCCGAACCCAGAGGCTTAGAAAAATAGTAGCAACAGTGCCAACATAAAGAAAATAAAAGAGCACCGCTACTGTCACGGGTGCAAAAATGAATTCAATATGTATCTTCTTTTTTAAACTTCACATGAGGAGAAGGCGAATGTCGTCCGATCGTGATTGTCGCTAGCATTCTTAAAGAAAAATACGCGGCCCCAAGTGAATACAGGGTATATTTTGTTCAAGAGTAAACGACTTTTTCTCACCCAAAGTTTGTCTTAATGGCATTTTTCATCCAAAAAGTTTTAAAATACTAATTTCTCACCCAAAATTTATATTCCGTTAAAACCTAAAATATACTTCACTTTACCAACTGATATTCGTCAAGTTATTAAAAGTCAAGGTAAGTGAAGTTTTATAGAGTGGATTGAATCAGTAGCGGATCCAAAAATTTCTTTTAGGATGTGTCAAAATAAAAATTTATTATACATTACTATTTTTATCCATTAATATTTTTGTTAGGGTGGACCAAAATATATAAATTATACATATTAATATTAAAAAAAAAAAATTTGATCCGCCACTAGATTGAATGGTGATGACCGATTGAATATTCGCTGTTAGAATCAGCAAAAAATAAGCTAAGAATAGTAAACCCTAAATTTACGATGACCAGCAATCGATAAGAAATCAGATGTCAAAGTGAAAGAGATTTTATATAGAAAATATCAAATGTTCAAATGATAGTGAAAAAGATGATTTTTGTTGTTGGAAAATGCCAAAATTGGCTTTGAGTATTAATATAATATAAACTTGGGGGGAGAATGGTATTTTAAAACTTTTTGGGTGGAAAAATATCATCAAGGCAAACCGTTTACTCTTTTTTCAAATCGTGCAAAAGTGTATCGACAAATCATATCTTGCTGTCATGAGGGCCTCAAAATCACAACAAATTGACCGAACATACCCTAAAAGAATTCAAATATTCATATAAACTCTTGAATCTCATGCTTAAGGATCTTGTTAAAGTTCAAACTGTAGCACATGGACTTTGAAAACAAAATTCAAATTTATAAATAGCAGCTCTTTATGTTATCTTAGGCCATTATTTTAATTTCAGCAATTCCTATGCTTGTAAAATCTAACCAAAGAGTCTTCCATTCATCAAACAAATCTGAAGACAATAAGATACATAGAAATAATCAAACTAAGAAAAGCAAACCACAAAATCAGACTCTGAGAGCTTCTGTTTGAACACAAATTTGTTTACACTCACACACTTGAGCTGCAAGAAAGAAGTTGCTTTCTCCATACAGAACAAAGCTCTACTCTCCAATTGATATTACAACCAAATCTACCTCTACTTTTCTCTTCATCAAGTTTTAAAATATTCCACTCAACCCAACAAAAGTACTGAAAAAACCATTACAGAATGATTCTCGACCACTCACCCTGTTTTTCACTCAAACCAAGTCACGCCTTTTATGTTTATCCAGCCTAATTGAGCACTATTAAAACAGCTAGTTAAGAACACTAGAACACTTTCATAATACATCAAGCCCAGTTCTCTTGTGTTTTCAGTAGCCCAACCTATTGGCCCACAGGCTTAAAAGAAAGAGTGAAATAATTTTAAATATTTAATAATTTAAATAAATCATAAATTAATATAATACTGATTCATAAAAATTTAAGTAAACACATATTACATGGCATCAATAGATTTCTCGTAGAACTTGCAAAGACCACTTGCGTTATCTCACGTTCATTTTAGAGGCAAAGAGATTATATATTACTATAATGTTCACATCGTGCAAAAATATTGGCTCCATTTGGCTTATTATTTTTATTCATATTTCCAATCCTATTCCTAGAATATTTGTTTGTTTTGTTATTTGAGAAATATTAGTATATTTTTTTAATTAATTTTAGACCCTTAAATTTATTAATTTCATTAAATATCCCCAAAAAAAGTTAAAAAATTAACAAAAATACTCCCACCCACCCATACTTGCCAGATTCTAGCAACCACCATCTGTGGTAGCCGGAATCTGTCACAACGGCCTACAAACAACCGAAACTAGCTAGTAATTCACTGATCTAGCCTTTTCCGACTAGATCAATAGTGAATATGGTC